TTTACTTATATTTCTCTGTTATAGCAGTGGGTATATATGGACAAGCACGAATAAGATCATTTAAATATAATCTTGCTAAAGATTTTTGTGCAAGTTTAACATATGGTGTATGAAAAAGAACAGCAGCAAATGTTGATAAATTAACTTCACGTGATGTTAATGTACTTGTATGAGTATGTGTTTCATGATTCATTTGTGATTTTGTACAATATTGTGTATAACATGTATCAAGTGCTGATGTAAAACATTGAATACTTAAATGACCATCAACAACAGGATAAAGAGAATTTAAATTTGGTTTATAAAAATCATAAACATGTGCCATATGTGTTGCACGACAACCTAGATTTGTAAAGGATATTTTCAAATATAAGATTTTATATAAATACCAGATTCAAAAACAACCGGAGCATTAGGACCGATGAGAAGAGCACAAGCGCCAGCACCACCTGTCGGACGAGCACTTCCTTTTGAATAAACGGCTATATCACCCATAACAACAACCGCCTAAAAAGGAAAAAAAACTCAATTTATAATAGATACATATATGTATAATAATTTTCTATGTACATAGCGTCCATCCCAAAAACTTGATTCAATCCAATGAATAGCATTAAATATAGCTGCAGTACCACCATAACAAGCATTTATATTATCTGCACCTTCAACAGCTGTATTATCATGATCAACAAATAATTGCATAAGAACTGTTTTTATTGATTTAGCTTTATCAATTAATGTTTCTGTTCCAACATCTAAACGACCTATTTGTTGTGGATGTACACCGGTTTCATCAAGTAAACGTGATAAAACAGTTAAACATAATGAACATATATCTTCATGATCCGAACATATTGACATACGTTGTTGTCCTAAGCCAATTGTATATTTACCTTTTGAAACATTATCATAAATCTCTAATGCTGATTGTTCAACATAAAGTGATGGAATGTACAATTCACAAGCAAGAATACCAACGGATGATGGACGATGTAAATAACCTGTTCCGTTCATTACTTTTCTAAAATAAAAATAATACAAAAAAAAATTATATTTAAATTGTTTATATTTTGTCCTTCTATAATAAATAGTAAACAATGGAATGTCTATGTTTCATACTGGCTGGTTGATTGTTGGATACCAATTTAGACAGATAGAAATGACTCATTTTTTTCAAAGGAAAAAGAAAAAATGAATGAATACACGAGAATGACTTTAATGGCACACAACATATCCAATAAAATAAATTGATAGTAGTTGCCACTAGTCTAGTGTTATTTTTTTGTATTATATGAATTCTTTTGCATTATTTTGTAGAAACTTCTTTGCAAAATTTTCAAATGATCTAAAATTTAACTAGAATTAACGTGTTTTACACTATACAATATGAGATAACAACATAGCATATTTTACATATATGTTAATGCAATGTGATGAATAAAATGTTATAAACAAAATAATAAAATTCAGGATTTTTAATAGGAATCGGAAACAAAGTATATTTAGGCATCTTGTTTCCAATGATAAAGTACCTGAGCGAAGAATTGACTCATGAAAAACAAAGGCAAAAAGCAAAAAAAAAAAGTAAGTCTAGACAGTTATAATAATGCGTATACATTCATCTGACAAGGTTTACGAAATACTGTGAATTCAAGTTTATTATGGCATCACTATAGCAAATAAAAAACAATAATAAAACAAAAATTATTATTATTATTGTTCTTCTTCATGCATGTCAATATAGTCTTCACGAAATCATGAAGTTGATTCAATTGAATTTTGTTAATATCATACAACAGATATTACAATTACATAACCACCGGGAACAATTATCTTCTATTCAACCATAAAGGTGTGAGTAAAGAGGAGACACACTCTTTCACATTCACACTCTCAGCAGCTCATTATGTCATAAATCGATTAGCAGAAGTTATAATGATTGAAGCTCGTGTGTTTTATCGAGCTGACAATGGAGCAATAATTCGACAAGTAGATGATCATATTTATGTCTATTCTAATTATACTATATACTCAAAAGTATGCATATAAATGATATTGCCATTTTATATCTTTCTCAGCCTTTTGATATAGAAAATAACGAATTTATTTCACGAACACGTAGCTCTTCAATATATAATCAACGAGACTAAACACCTATCGAACGGCACTCGACTAGTCGCTAATGTTTGGAATATTACACATATGACAAGTTTTTCTAGATCAAAATTATTGTAACAAGTCGACATTTATGCTATTGATGATGAAAATTTAAATTGTTTTGGATCGGAAAACCAACGTCAAAGGATACCGCTGGATTGGTTGGTAAATCTGCCACACCCCCTAGCTTTCACTTTCAATAGATTAGAAAGATAGAACATGAGATTCTGCACAATTTTGTCTATTTATTTTCTTTTTTGTTGAATGTAAAATAAAATTTTCAAGGTCTAAATAGTTTCAGGAAGATGTATCCACTTTTGAGTATTTCGAATAATAATTATGATATGTATATGTTTTTTTTTTGCAAACTCACTATGAAAACTAATAATTTAGGTTGACGCAGTTTTTGTTGCTCTACAAAATGATATAGTAATCATATTTACCTTTAAATTCTCTCTTAGATTATAAGGGGTCAAAAAAGGTGTGATATCACACCTTTTTTGACCCCTTATAATCTAAGAGAGAATTTAAAGGTAAATATGATTACTATATCATTTTGTAGAGCAACAAAAACTGCGTCAATCTACATTATTAGTTTTCATAGTGAGTTTGCAAAAAAAAAGAACATATACATATCATAGTTATTATTCGAAATACTCAAAAGTGATGGATCTCCTGAGACTATTTAGACCTTGAAAATTTTATTTTACATTCAACAAAAAAGAAAATAAATAGACAGAAGTGTGCAGAATCTCATGCTCTATCTTTTTAGTCTATTGAAAGTGAAAGCTAGAGGGTGTGGCAGATTTACGAACCTATTCCGCGATATCCTTTAGTTTTGTGCTGATCGTTACGGAAGTGATAATAATGATAGTTTAATATTGAACGTTTTGCTAGCTACCTGGTTTTCATTTTCTCCTAGAAATATGTTATGGAAACATTTAAAGTTTCTGTTCATAAATACTTTCTGTTATATTTTAATATTTTTATAAATGCAGACGATTCTGCAAGCTCAATTTTTCAATGGAATGATAATCGCTGGATATAAGTCAATCTTGCATAATATTGCAGAATGTCTGGTGATTCCGATGTTTTTACAAGACTTGTTGCCTACTCTACATAGTTGGATAGAGTCTATCTTACAGGTGTTTGCAAAAAAAAGTTGCACAAAATTAAGTTTTTTTTTATAACGGTTTTCTTGCCGTTAGAAAGCAATTAAGAAAGTCATTCTTCGATGGATATATGTTCGTTGGTTATATTACACGTTGAACATACAAAACTGTGATTTCTTTTCTTTTCAATACATTCGATCTGTTCATGTTATTCATCGTGAAACAAATATTCCATTGCGAACTATCTATTACATTATTCATAAATTAAAACAAAGAAATTCATTTATACATCGAGATGAAAAATGGTCGATCACGTATATTGATTAGAATAGGACAAAAAGCAATTGGTCGATATATTCGGTGTAACAATGAAATATGTTATCTTGATGGTCCATATTATATTCGTATGCTTAACATTTCTCTTTTTCTTGATGCTAGATAACAATTTCGGCGAAATTGGCGTTTACAATAGGACAACAATCTCAAATTTCCTCAGTAATATGACTAACAAAAATGTATCACAATTACTAAAGCGACCCTGTAATAGTCTCGACATTAACCTCATCGAGAACATTTGGTCGATCGTAAAACTCAAAGTTGAAAAAAGAAAATCGAAAAAGATTAATGAACTGGAGTTTTTTTAGTTGAAGAATTGAAAAGTACTGAAAAAAAATGCTGTAATACAGAGTGTCTGAAAAGTAGCTCCCTATTTTGAATTCTTTACTACTCTCAAATAACAAAAGATATCGTACCGATTTTTCCATTGTTTCGAAGCATGTGTCATGGCATGTTGTTGTAGATGAAACAAGCCGATTGATCGTTCGACTGTCTAAGATCAAGCCCGAATTTCGTCTTGAGAACATCTGAAAAGAACTTTTTATTTTCAGTAGTTTATTATTCGTATACTAGGGCAGGGGTGTGAGCGTGCGGGTGTAGATAAGCATTTTTGTGTTATGTAAACACACGCCAAGACTTCACCTCTACACTCACGTGCACACTTCACACCTATACGCATATCCATATCTACACCCGAGCTTTCGTATAAGAATAATAAACTAATCAAACTAATAAGTTCTTTCCAGATGTCCTCAAGACGAAATTCGGGTTTGATCTTAGACAGTCGAACGACCAATCGGCTTGTTTCATCTACAATAAAATATCATGACACATGCTTCAAAACAGTGAAAAAATCGTTGAGATATCTTTTGTTGTTTAAGAATTATAAAGAATTCAAAATAGGGAGCTACTTTTCAGGCATCCTGTAGATTCTGTGATGTGCATGAAAAATAGGCATTTGTCTCTTATTTCTTCTAAAGATGAACGAATAAAATATAAAATTATGCTATTTAATAGTACTGACCGCAGGCTATTAGTCACTATATAAACTACTTCAGAAGAACATTTATATGTAAGAAAATACTGGTATAACAAGATGTACAAGTTTTTTTGCAAACATCTGCGTCAGTTGTTACAGATAAGATGATTGTTTTTTATGTTGATACATTACTAAAGAATTAAATGATGAATAACAAGTGCTCTCAATCCTACAAACTCTTGCTTTCGAAAGAAAAGAAAAAAACACTTATCTGTAAAAAAACAGAGATACGTAAAATGAAATGTTAGAAAATTTATTGTCTCTTCCGTCCAAGATATATATATATATATATGTATATATTTACAAGTTCTTCAATCGAGTTTTGAAGGATACAGTCGTTTTTTTCAATATATAATATGTATGTATTATCACAATTAAATCTATTATTATTATTATTTGTTACCATTTTTTGTAATATAACATTCTATGAGCATGACAAAATTAATGACGAAGATCCATTGCAATATACTTGGTCCATATTAGTATCACTTAGATATGATTGTCAACATAAGAATGATCCAATTACACATTGTTGTAGTGGAACAATTCTTACTGAATCATATATTCTTACAGCAGCTGATTGTGTTGATAGTTTGCCCAAAGATACATCATTAGCTAATGTGACAGTTGCTGCTCGTATTGATAATCGATCTGAATTAGGTCAGATAATTCGATACGTTGATCAAATTATTATTCATCCAAACTGGAAAAATGATCATAATGGTCGAAAGCATAATATTGCTCTTTTACATTTATCAACTTCCTTAGATTTTACTGCAGATAAATATGTTACTCAAATACGTCGACCAACAAGCTTTAGTTTATTACAAGATATTCTAAAATATCCATCAAATAGCACACGGCTATTGGCTATTGAATTGGATCGTGCTAAAAAACATTTTGATTCTACATCATATGTTAATCTACAACAATATGAAGTATCTTTAGTAGATAACAATGATCCAATATGTCATAAATTGATTTATGATGTCGAACAACAATTTTGTATTAGGTTATATGATGCTGTAAAAGGTTTGTTTTGAAGAAATCTCTTTAACATTATATCTGTTTTTTTGTTTTTTATAGATGCATGTAATCGTATGTATTATGTCTAAGATAAAATCCATAGTATTTCTGATGAATTGATTTTAATTTATTAGATAAATCTGGTCAACCCATTTTACAATGGATTAACAACTATTGGATGCAGGTAAAATTAATCATTTTAAATAATACTCAAAAGTAAATCTGCCTTTCGCCAAATAGAAATTGCTAAATAATGAATCTTATTCATTAACATATTCTGAATGTTTTTATTTTGCTTAATTCATTTGTACATTTTCTAGAAAAACTTATATTTATTTTAATGATTTTCGATCTCTTAAGAGATCGAAGACAAAAAACAAGAATTTATGAATTAACATGATTTGTTTTTGTTTTAGGTTGGTATAATAAGTTTTGTTGTAGAAGAAACAAATGGAAGTTGTCTAGGTATTTATACCAGACTAGCATATTATCATAAATGGATAGACTCCGTTCTAAATTTGAAAAGTCTTACATCGTTACCTATTGCAAGAAATACTGATTTAATCACAAATCTTACTACAACTTATAAATGTGTCGCATCTATAGTATCATGCGGTTGTGGCAAGGAAAATGTTAACTTATCATCGACAAAAATTATTGGTGGTGAAGAAGCAGTTCCATATAGTTGGTCGATGGTTGTATCTATTCGTTTAAACAGTTCCGAGAAACATTCATGTGCTGGATCGATTCTTACTGGATCATATATTTTAACATCAGCATATTGTGTTTATGGTGCATCAGAATTGGAAATGTCTGTTGCTGCTGGTATACATAATCAAATCGGAGATTTCTCAATGATTCGTTATGTACATGAAGTTCATATACATCCTAATTGGAATGGAAGTGATGGTACTTATCGCAATGATATTGCTCTATTACGTATCTTTCCTCCGTTATTCATTCCTGGTAATTTAGGCCTTGCTCGAACATGTGTTCCATATTTTAATTCAATAAATGAAACAGTAAACTATCCATCAAATGGTAGTCATTTAATTATTGTTGGCTGGGGTTCAACTCAATATGGTTATAATATGTCTAATAGACTTCAGCAAGCTAGTATATATATGATTGATAACAATGATCACATATGTCAACAATCGATTCATGATGTCGAACGACAATTTTGTGCTGGAATGTATGGAAAAGGTAATGAAGAATACCTTTATTGCTATTTTTAGAAATATTTTTTTTTCTTTATAAATTCTTCTGTAGATCCATGTCAAGGTAAATATAAATACCAAAAGAATATATATATATTTAATACAAAAATGAATTTTAGGTGATTCGGGTGGTCCAATTTTTCAATGGAAAGGTACTTATTGGGAACAGGTAATATCTTTTCTATTTCCATCTTGCAGTTTTCAAATGTCTATTATAGGTAGGTATTATAAGCTATGGAGGAAGATGTCATCAAATTGGTTCTCCGGCTATTTTTACACGATTAGCTTATTATTTTAATTGGATGGAATCTGTAATGAATATCTCATTAACTACAACTACGCCAAAACCTCCACCAACACCAATTTCATATACTTGTGATAAAGCATCATCATGTGGTTGTGGCAAGGCTGATGTATTTCTAACATCTTCTCGTATTGTTGGCGGTGAAAATGCCAAGGAAAATAGTTGGCCAATGATTGTATCTCTTCGTTTACATGGTACTAATAACCATTCATGTGGTGGAACAATCTTATCTAATTCATATATTCTTACTGCTGCTCATTGTCTTCGTCAAGTATCAATAGAAAATTCTACAGGTATTACAATTGCAGCAGGCATGACAAATCGATCTGATCCATTACAAATCATACGTAATGTTGATCGTATTTATATACATCCAAATTATACAAATACGCCAAATGATTATCAGCATGATATTGCTTTATTACATATTGATCGACCATTTGTATTTGAAATAAATTCAAGTGTGACAAGAACATGTATTCATCGTATTGAGTCAAACAATCAATATCCAAAGAATGGTACTCGTCTTGCTATAATCGGATGGGGTGTATTTCTCTCTGGAACTTTATATCTTCCAGAAATTCTTCAACAAACACAAGTGTTTGCAATTGATGATCAAAATCCTATATGTTTAAATTCTATTGAGAATACTGAATTACAATTCTGTGCTGGATTATTTGAAGGTGGAAAAGGTCAGTGTTTTATTAGATTTTTTTACAAAGATTTTTAATTCATTTTTTCTTTTAGATTCTTGTCAAGGTATGTTTAAAAGTCTATTTCGTTTAAGTATCAACATAAGATAATTATTTTCTACTATAGGTGATTCAGGTGGACCAATATTTCAATGGACAGGACAATATTGGGAACAAGTGGGTATTGTATCATATGGAATAGGATGTGCACTACCGAATTTTCCAGGTATATATACTCGACTATCTTATTATTACAATTGGATAGAAGAAATTCTAAAAAGTGATGGCGAACATTTGGAACCAAACATTCTATTAAATGTAACTACAATTTCTACTACCGATATCTCATATTGGTCATCTCCTACGACTTCGAAGACGATACCAAATATGGCATATAAATATGAATTTAATATGTTGATATTCGTACCATTCCTTGTTTTATTCTTACTATTTCAAATGTAACATGTATACATCATATAAAAGGTTTTTTCACATAATAATACTAATAAATAAGAATTTTAATGATGTAAAAATCTTAGAAAGTATATACTTTAATATTTGTGCAAATCAGATCTAATGAAAATGGATGACTATATAATATTGAGTCTATTCTTTCATTCATAAATGCTTTTATTCGATCTAATAATAAATAGTAACAATTCAAACTTTAATTTACGAGGTTTTTTTTTTACCGTCCTTCAATCTAAATTTTGTCAATCAAATAAACATACTTAAGTATTGATTATTTATATGTACACATAATTTCCATCTCAACTGCTTTAGTATTTTATATTATTTATTCCATTCCTAATTCTTCATCTTTTCTTTTTTTTTTTTGTAGAGTATCAATAAATAAAACAATACATTCCAAATAAATTCTTACTTTCTTCTTTTTTTTTTTTTTCATTGTCGTTTTCTTTTTTCTTTATCCATCTTGTTTTCTTTTCTTTCTTTTTTGTTTTTTTTTTTTATACATCATAGACAAAAGAAAAAAAATCAAACACAACACAACAATAATAAAACTGATGAAGAAGACGGAAGGAAAAAGAAATTTATATACAAACAATGTGATTAAACACGATAGAAGAAGAAGAAAAAAAAACGAAAGAAAAAAAACCATAAATACATTCATACACTACAGACAACAAAAAGCATTGTGCAGCATTAACAAGCACAGAGGAAAAAAAACCAAAACCGATATATAGAAGAGCAATATGCCCAATAGAAGAATTTGAATAAGTCAACGTTTAATTAACCACAAGAGGAAAAAAAAAGAACTATATACATTGTATATAGACTAACGCAAAGAAAAGAATAACGAGTGGAGAGAGAGAGAGAGAGAAATCTACTGTTATATATGTGCGTGCGTTGAATAAAGAGAATATTATCTGACATCATGTCCGTTGGAAATAAATCGTTTTTTTTTGTTTTTGTTTTTGTTTATTCATCAACTTGTTCATCATCTCCATGTGTTAAACTAAAAATTTTTATTAAATAAATATTTAATTCTTTTTCTTTCAATTTACCTCATATCATTTTGTCCATCATCATCATCAGTTTGTTCATATTGATTATGATTAATATCTCTTGATTGTTCATTATGTTGACCATGATTTCCATTAACACTAGTAGAATTATCATCATCTTCATCTTCGACATTATGAGAATTTAATAGACCCTGGAAAACAAAAAAAAACAAATGAAACAATTCAATAAAAATAATTCTTTTTATTCGTACTTTAAAATCTTTATAATCATCTTCCATACCAAACGGATACGAATAAAGTGCTTGATCATCACCCGTAGATGTATTATGACTAAAAAAATTTCAAAATTTTATATATACCTATATGAAACAATATGTATATATTTACCCATAAGAAGACGATGATTCATTATGATTACTTCCTTTTTCTGCTCCTCGTGTTAAACGTCTTTTACAAAATTCACTTTCATCTACAGTCCATACTGCACCTTTTATATTCTCAACACGCATAAAACATTTATGTAATGATAAGTTATGTCGTACAGCATTCTATTGAAAAATGAAAATTTCAAAAAAAAAAAAGAAATAAAAAGATTCAAATATTTACCTTCCATGTTTGTGCATTTTTACGAAAATAAAGAAATTGTGCTTCAAACCATTTATAAACTTCATTTAATGTTAATTGATTATCTGGAGATTCAACAATAGCCTAGAATATATATATATATATATGTATATAAATATTTTAATTATTAGAAATCATTTCTTTTAAATTATATACCTGACGAATTAATGTTGCGTATGTAAATGGTGGCCGTACATCATGTGTCATATAATAATCTCGATTTTTTAATTCTAAAAATAAATTTAGTTAGTTTTTTTTTTTTTTATATTAAATGATTCGAACTTTTAGAATGAAAATCTGATGATTCTTATTACAATAATTATTTTTTTCAAACTATCAAACATTTCATATTCAATGAAAGGATTCATCAGAATTCAGCTCTTCGAAAGTATATCCTTGGAGAATTTCACCTCAACTAGAAAGGTTTCTATCATACGATAGACTAATTTTATTTAACAAACCTTTTCCTTTTCCAGCTTTTTTTCCACCTAATGCTAACATTCCTTTTGATTTTCTATTTAATTGATGATGTTTTCCAGTTGAACCCATTGAAACTATCGATAGACTATTTCCATGAGATCTTGATAATGCTGATGTATTTCCATTCGTATCAACCATATCTTCATCATCATCATCATCATCATCATCATCTTGTGTATCATCACCAACTTCTTCTTCAACTGTATGAACAGGTGGTGGTGAACTTGATGCACTAGCACGTAATATAGTTTGTGCCGTTGTATTATTTGTTGATGAAAGATCTTGTGTTGTTTTTTTAACAAGACACGCTGATGTTAAATAAGCATTTTCTAATTTAACAATAGGTAAATGTTGAAATGTTGTTGTTGTTGGCATTGTTGATGAAGATGTTGGCGATGATAATTGTGTTGAACGATTATTATGATATGATGCTAATGTACGTGATGGTTGATGTGTTATAACATGTGCTGTTGTTGTTGTTGTTGGATTTGATGATGATGCACCATTTGAATTTATTTGTTGACTACCACCATGTAAATGTTTCATCATAGCTTGAAGTATTTCACGTTCACGTGTTAATAATGCTTCTAATTGTTGTACAACATGTTGCTGTACACGTGCTTGTGCAACAGAACGATCATCAAGTGAATGTTCATCGTTAAGATGTCGATTAAAATCCATTAATGATGAACACAATGTATCACAACTTGGCCAACGACAATAATTTCTTTGATATAATGGATTATTTGATGAATCTTGTTGTGTTGAACGATTTATTGTTGTTGTTGTTGCTGTTGGCATTATAATACGAGCTTCAGTTGGAATATTATTATTTGTTCCGATTATATTTAAACCTATAAAAAGAAAAGAATAGAAAAAAAAATTTGAATTTTTATTTTATATTCAATTATTAAACAAACAACCGTGCAAATAAAGCAATGAAAAATTATGGATTAATATACGCAAAAAAAACGCACAAATCATTCGGACGTGGGGGAAACAGATAATAATACTGTATATAATATATATATATATAGATGTATATATTATATATATATATAAATCTTTCGAATGACGAACCGGTAATGGTTCGACCTGCTGTTAGCAGATCTGTGATGTTGATTGTTGTTGGTTGATGATGAGGACGTGTTGATATTGAAATCACTGATGGAGATTCTGTAGACACTTACATATATAAATAAATGTTGTTTATTGATAGAAGAGCTTTTTCATCTCGAGGCAAAGAGAAATGACGAGCTGTTCTTACCACTAGTTGATGAATTATTTGGTGTTGTTGTTGTTAAATATTGAACAGTAGCTGTTGTTGGTTGATTAGAATTGTTTGAATTTGTAATACTAAATAAACTAGGAATTTGTTGTTGTTGCTGTTGCTGTTGCTGTTGTTGTTGTTGTTTAGAAGAAACTTGTTGAAGAAGAAGTTGTTGATTTGCTATTTGATTCTAAAAGTAATAATAATAATAAAAGATAATAAATATTAAAAAGTTTTATTTCTTTCTTACTTGAATTTGTTTAATAACGTCAGAATTTGATGCTGTCGTTGTTGTCGTTGGTTGAACAAGATTAAGTTGAATTTGTTCACTCAACTGTTGATTGATTTTTTCAACAAGAAGACGTTGCTAGATCATGAAAAATAGAAATATTCTATTATATTTAATAGTGTATTTTCTTTCTCCGACAAATACTCGTTTTATTATTGTTGTCACAGACACTATAGCATGCGTGAAACAACACAGATACAACGATAGTTTGGTTGGTTGTTGTTGTTTTTTTTATGTGTTTCTTTCTTTCTCGTTCGTTCGGTTTTTTTTTTTTTTATTCTATTATTAATTTTCTTTCCTTCTCATTCTTATTCTCTATATATTGTTTTTTTTTTTGCCGTCCTCATAAGCGAACACTATAAGCAACATCCTGTGCGATGTTTGTCGTATAACGAATGAGACGTCAAAGAAAGATGGAGAGAAAGAAAGAAAAAAAATGAGGCAGCAAACCATATTGTTCATAGCCTCAATACGCAAAGACACTTATTGTAGGCTTCATAAATGACCATAGACATATCAAAAAAAAAAAGAGAAACAGGGAGAGAGGGATATATATATATTTATAACTTGACCTGTTACATCATATGAATTATGTACCTGTTCAGGACTTGTTAGTATTTGTTGAATAAGCATATTTTGTATTGCATTAGATGAGGGTTGTAAAAATTGAAGCATCGCTGATGTTGCTACCGGTTGTTGTTGTGGTGGTGACACTGCTGTTGACAAATAATCACCTGAATCAATTAAACGTAGTGTACCCTGAGAAAGAAATTAAACGAAAGAAAGAAAAAACGAAATTAGAAAAATTGATTTATCATTAAATTACATTATTTGATGATGTTGGTGAAACAATAGTTGTACCATTTTGTAGATGACCTGTTTGTTCATTAAGTATTGTTGTTGATGATGTTTTAGTTCTTGTTGGTGTTTGAAGTTTAGATGTTCGATTTGTTGTTGTTACTCTCATTTTTAGATTTTAAGAAAAAAAACTCATTCAACGGCAATCTACAAAATAGATCAATTATAAGTTTAACTCTGCTAGACGGCTTTTTTTTCATTCTTTCGGTCAATATTTCTAATTTGTTCATTCTTCTTTTTTTTTCCTACTAAAAAAAATGCAAGAGGTCAAAACTTAATTGTGTCAATAGACAAATAAAAAAAAAAAGGAATAACCAATATATATATATATATTGTTTATCTTAACTCGTTCGAACGTTGCCATGAAGCTGCTTTGATAGGACGGAGTAAGAAAGCAAGGAAAAGAAAAAAAAAAGAAAGAATAGCAATATGTTGTTGTTGTTCTGTTGTGTGTTCGACAAACGACCCCAACGTATACAATAACAACATTTCTCTTTTTAATCAACAAAATGCATGATGTCTTTGATCGATGCATCCAATAAAAACTTTCTTTTGTTCAATGTATTAAAATCAAGACCTTTAAGAAATACACTAACTAGATGAAATATATTTTTTTATTTTATTTTTTCTAGCTTTTGATTGAAGATAATAATCGACGAATATGTATTGGAATATTAATAAGCCATTTAAAACTTTTTTGAACGCCTAGATTTATATCAATATACATATATATATATATGTGTGTGCACATTGTACAAAAATTATGACGTATTTACCTGAATTTCACATGTATCTATAATAGCATGTTTAACTTCTTGTTTTGTTGGAATTTGATCAAATGTTTCAGTTGTATCTGGTAATGATGTACGAATTTCATTAATTATTTTTTGAGTATATATCTATTAATACCAAATACTTCATGACTAATAACAAGTACTGTTGCACTACCAACAATAGCTAGTTTTATAACCCCAACTTAAATATATATGAATGTTTATATTTGAAAACAAACGAAAAAGATATTTTTCATACTTAAGAAAATACGTCATATGAATTTTGATAGATTTATAAATAATATATATATATATATATATATATATATTCGAAACTCTTGGAACTGTCAAGACAGAATAACAAATAAATAAAAAAAAGAACCTATTGAAACAAAAAATAAGGAAGAAAAAGAAAGCTTGATGGCTATTGGTGTGTTGGAAGATTAGAGAAAATAGTATGATGAAAAATAAATAATCTATTATTTATGTGAATTATGATGAAGCTATAGGTCTATTATTTAGATTTTTTAGATTTAATTAGAGTTTAATTCAAAAGATGGCGCTACGTATCAGATGAATATGATTAAAAGATCTGGATTCATCAGTATTATTTTCAACGTGCTAAAATAAGTTGTTATATCTTTTTTAATGTGAAATAAATGAATCAATTAAATAGATTATATTAATATACAGAATAAAACTAACAATCAAACCATAAATCAATCAATTAATAATAAATCGAATCTTCAATTATTATAATATTGCAATCGAAATAAGATAAATTCATTTCTCTATGGAAATTACGAGGCAAAAACTTTTGCATGGTCAAATATATATATATATATATCTAGTGAAGAATAATGACATAACTGAAATAA